CTGCCACTAGAGCATGACTGAAACAAGCATTTTGTGAGAGCTGGCAGGTGCCTAGGCTGGTGTGCATGGAAGAAAGTATGCTGACTTATTCCCTCTCTTCAGCTCTAGGACAGGGTAAGAGATTATTTGTCTTTTTCAGGACAAGGAGATTATATAGGTGAGTATTTCTCCTGCATTGCACTGCTCACTCTGCTCTTTCCTCACAAACACTACCAGTCTTCTGGCAAAATTACCATGGGAAGGGTGTAGCAGGCTTGAGCACCCAGCATCTTTCTCATTTGTGCAGAAGCAGAAGGCTGCTGCAGACTGGCAAGTCTAAGGACTCCTCTGTTCACTCACAGGGGAACTCAGGCAGCGCAGCAACACTGACATACCAAAGACTTTGCAACATCTCTCCTGTGCGAACACAGTTCCAATGCCTGGTCTTCTGCTCTGCAGGACATTCCATAGCAAGGTCTCTGACTGTACCTATGCATCACTGACCTGTGATGCACCTCATGTCCCCTGGTACCATGCACACCACACCTCCAGGCATCGGTGCCACTCCAAGTGACCACGGCACACACACCAGAGAAACATTAGGTGCTCACCCAAACAGGACTGCAAGGCACTACTGGCCATGCACGCAGATACCACCATTACCAGTCCAGGGACCTCCTCCTCTTTTTGGAAGGACAGATAGGAGACAGACTCCTAGACACACAAAGCTCCAATAAGACCAAGCACTGCCTGCCTTCTTCAGGGACGTCCCCCACTGGGGCACCAAACATGACATTGCTTTATGGCAGCACTACAGCCCATATACTGTCTGGGCAGAGCTCCTGTCTCCCAGGCAGGGTGACAACTGGAGGCACTCACCCTGGCTAAAGTGCTGCCTGTGCTTGGCACTGAGCTGCCTCTTCTGGACATCTACTGGAGTAAGGAGGTCCTCACTCCTCTGCCAGAAAGAGCCTGCAACTTCTGGCTCTTAATTCAAATCTTTGGAACGAGATGCTCCTCCAGTAAAACTAAGACCTCCTGCCCCTGTGCAGAGACTTGCGCATGGGAACCTGCTCTCAATGACAAGTTTAAGCACCCTAGCACTACACCAGAGGTGAGAGGACAGAAAATCTCACCATATATTTGATAAAAAGAAGCAATACTGTTATCCCCAGGTTATATACTGGGAGTACAGGACCAAGACACTCGTCCAGATGTATGTCAGAGCCAAGAACCAACTCCTTACCTCTTTAGCTGCAGTTCAACAGGCTCACTATTGCCAACTGGCATTGCTATCACTATCACCAAACCTTGTGCTTTTCTTTCTCTTTTCTTGCTTGCACACCTTATGGTCCAAATGAGACCACTGTACCTGCACTCCACCTTCTCATCACTGGACAAGCATATTTAACAGCAGACCTTCCTTCTCTGCACATACAACCTTCTGAGAGGGCAAAAAACCACAGGGTTAAGCTATGCTGCACTTCCACTTGACCACCAAAGCCCAGCATTGCACGCCATCAGATGGTACTCGGGTGGAACCAATTACACAGGGGAAAGGAAGAAGCTAGAGCCCCCACGCACAAAGCTGTTGGTCTGCAGTTTTAAAGGTAGCTGCTTTTCCCTGTCCTTTCAGAATCTGCAGGCCCTGTGTCACTGCAAAGGCATTGTGCAACTGGGCGTTTTGCAACCGCTGCCTGACTTGGCTGCAGAGCTGGGCTCTGGGCTTCACCCTGTCCCACCACGCCTGGAGCAGCACTGGCCAGCTGCCCACCTGCACTCCCAATCCCACACTGAGGCTCCTTTTCTCCCAGCACACTAAAGCTTCATTTAAGGTTGTGGCTCAAGCTGAGAAAGCAGTTATGGTGATGCAATGGATCGGAGGGAGCACACGAATTTCCATCTCTTTGGTGAGTCCATACCCTCAGATCGCTCCAGACCCAAACCCATCACTTATGGCACTGGTCCCACTCCTAGATCACCATTACTGTGGTAAATCCTTCAGAGCACTCCGAACTTGTCCTGCAAAGGCTGGAGGACTCCAGCAAAATCTCCTCAAGCCTGGCTAACACCAGCCAGCACTGCTGAGAGAGAGCTGGAGATGAACAAAGCCTGAACCTGTGTCTAGGTCAAGTCAAAGCCAAGGACAGCACAAAGCAAATTACCATGTGAGCTTCAGCCATCCCTATTTAAACTCCATGCTGTAATAGTGTTGCACCTAATTATGCCACAATGCTAAAAGAAAGTACCTTGGGCAAGATCACCACATGATTTCTCCGTGAAAGAACTCTGCCCCGTTTCAGCACGAGGAACAGGCAGCGCCTTTGTGGGGACAGGTTCAGGGAAGGCTGTGCCCTGGATTAAGCCCCTGCCCAGATAAACACCTCCAAGGAAGAGGCAGAATTCAAAAATAACAGCAAACCCTAAACAAACAATAACGGTTTGAGGGCTTTGCTTTGGAATCAAAGATTAATAGATGTATTGATCGACCCAAGGGGCTGGGACAAAGGCTGACAGCCGTGTTTATTTTTTAGCATCTGTGGACTTACTGTGCTTGTGTCCAAGCAAATATTGCATTAAGGGAAGCTTATGAGCTAACACATGAAGTGCAGTTGGATCATCTGTAGCTCAAACCGCAGGCTGTCTGAACATGCTGCCACCAAAGTGCATTAGCATCAGTTAAAACAGCTTAACATTCAGGACTAGACTGGACTGAAGATGTGTTCAGATAGCTCTGCAAAGCTATTTAGCCATAGAAATACATGTTGACCCTGCTGCAATGCTCAGAGAAAAGTTTCCCTGAATAAACTCTACAAACCTTGCATCTCACAGACAACGTGAATGAGCTGCCCTGACACCATGAAAAGCATCTACTGCTGGATGCTAGGAAGGACCAGACTGTGCAAGGCCTGCCATGCTGGGACTTACGGCAGTGGATGCTGCAGCAAAACAAGCAGCAGAGATGTGGAGAGGTGCAGTATTCCAGCAAGCAGCAGTGATGTGGAGAGGTGCAGTATTCCAGCAAAAGACCAGGGTAAAGGGTAGGGCTGCTGCCAGACCCACAGCTGCTCCCATCCCAGCACTGTGCTGCTGTGCACACCTTATTCTGGTGTGGGGAATTTAGGAAAAACCTCAGCAGTGCAGCAGCTCAGGCACTGCTGAGTAATTTGGCTGTTGCCTGGGTTTCAGCGCCTTGTGCTAATGCTTGGGGTCCCCACTGGACAAGAAGCAGGTTTGAGAACAAAAAGGCTGGAAGAGACACAAAGGGGTTTTTGGAATGCGTTATTCAAGATGTAACACATCTTGCAGAGCTCCAGCCACTGCCAATGATTAACCTGCTGCACCAGTCGGACCTCCCTGCTTCCAGACCTCAGTGTGAGGAACCAGATCCCTACAGAAGCCATGATCTCTTCCACTGCCTCCATGGTGCGCAAAGCCTCTGAACTGCCAGGCATGCAAAAATCACAAGGAATAACCCCCCCCCCCCCCCAATAATCGCTAGTGAGGCTTAACAGACCAATTGCAAATACATTCACCGTTCTTCTCACCCTGCCTCCTTGTTAAGCCTTTCCCATACAGCTTGGTCACTCTGAAACAGCTTTCCTCTGCAGTGCAGGGGCCCAGCTCTTGGAGAAGCTGAACATCCCCAAGGCAGCAGGAACTGGGGCTTCACAGACAAGGGGTTGGGATGGGTGTGATGTTCAGAGTCAGTGGAGAGGCTGAGCCCCTTCTGCTAAATCCCTGTTTGGCAAAGCAGGCAGCACTGCCTGCAAGGATGGGCAGTGGAGAGGCTATAGCCGGGTGCTATAGCACCAGGGTGCTATAGCAATAGACCCAGAGCTGTGTTTCATATCACGGTCGACTTCAAACATCACCTAAAAAAAAGTGCTTATTACAAGAAAGGGAAAACCCCAGAAGCCTTAAGTGACCATTTTAAAGCTTTTAGCTATTTAATTGTGGCTTTCCACATGCTGATAGAGAAGCCAGTGCCCTCACCGCAAGAAGCCTCACCTCCCTGAAGCACTCTTTGCAACCCTTGAATCTAGGGAGATGTCAAGCATCTTAGAGGGAGACCTTCTGAATGCCCCAAAGTGAAGGAGGACATCCAGCCTTGCAGGTGGAATAGTGACAGTAACCCAAGGTGACAAGGTGGGCATGACAGCCCTCCACAGAGGGAGCAGGTGGGCAGAGGAGCTCCTGAGTGCTGCTGAGATGATGCTCTGTCCTCCTCTCCTAAGGATGGCTTGGAGGCATCAATGGCTGCTTTAAAAGACAGTTACAGCTGCACTAACACCTTCACACAAACCCAGTGATTTCCAGCCACAGTGCTTTTCAGCATCTCTGAGTGCTGAAGCCTTGGGCTGGGCTCTGCACCCTCCACCTCCCACAGAAGCCTGGGTTTCTTCCACAGGGGCAGAGCTACCCATCATCTCCCAGGAAACACTGAGGACTGTGTGTCTAAACCCCGTGATCACCACGAGCTTCACACCTCCATGTGCTGCAGATAAGAGGGAACATTTTCAGATGTGCCCTGAAAATCACAGATTCCAGCTCTGCTTCCAAAAATGATGCCTGCATTTCAGGGCATCAACCCCATTTCCTCCCAGTAAATCCTCAGGTCACTTTTGGACTCAAGTCCACCAGCTCACTTTTGGACATGAAGCATCATATCCCTGCTTGCTTTAGGAACTCTTGAAACATGAGCTGCAAATCTTCATGGAGCTAAATGAAATAGAAGGGCCTCCCTTTGATAATATACATTTTTTGCTCTCATAGGTTGGCTGGTTTTCCCTCCTCTCCAGCTGCCAGGTGAACCCCACAGGACTAGAGGGGAAAAAAAAAAAGGCAGGCAGGAAATAAAAAGCAGGGGAAAGAAAAATAAAAAGGAGTTTCCTATGGTCCAGATGAACCTAGCCCCTCTGCTAACCATGGCAAAACAGTGTTTTCTAGTGGGATGGGGGGACTGTGCTGTGAAGAATGGCCCTGGGTGACCATCCCCAGAGCTTCCCGCAGGTACTTACTGGTGCTTGTGCTAGTGCCGATGGTGTTGATGGTTGTGGGGACGGAGGAGGAGGAGTAGAGGGGCAGATGGCCGTTCTCGCATGCCAGGTTTTTGTCCTGCCAGCTGGAAGCGCTGACGCTTATGCCCGAGTCTCGAGAGTTTTGCCATCCATTGAGTTTGTCGTCGGAGTTTTGTCTTTGGTGATAGTAGTGCGTCTGCCCGTAGTCCACCGAATCTGACCGACCTCTGTTCTGGCTGCCGAAGCCGCCCGATGTGCGGTCCTCCAGGTGGTTGAGCCACATGGCCAGGGCACTCCTGTCCTCTAAGGAGGTGGCAGGGTGTATCAAGGCGTAGGACAGCAGCTGCCGGCTCTCCTCGATGTGTTGGTTGTGTTCAATCGAGTGGGCCAGGATTTTAGGCAAGAGTTTCATGTATTCGACTTTTGCCTCGATGTTGCCGGGCTTCAGTAAAGGCAGGTGGGTTAACAACAGGGAAATCACTTTATCCTTGGATTCCTGTTGCCATTGGTTAATGATTCCTGTTGAACGAATAGAAAGGAAAAAAAAAAAAAGAAGGGCACTGAGAAATCGGCAAACAGAGCTAATACAAGAAATAGACAGACCCTGGCAGGGTAAATATGACACACCAAAGGGATGCCTGCATGTGTGATGCCACTGCACGAGCATTTCCCAGGCACGGGGGTCACCACTCTCTGAAACCCAGGGTGTGCTGAACTGGGCACCGAGGATTATCAGATGCTCCTGAAAATCACTAAAAAAGATTAATTACACCCACCTCTACTGTCACGTAGCTTCACTGCTGTTGTCTTAATGTTAACCAGAGTCATGATTTGGCCTGAATTGTCTGTATTATTGCAGATTACACAAAATACTACACAAAAGCACTTCATGGATAAACCTAACCTTTTAAAAGCACTGGCTGGAAAATAGAAAAGGTTCAAATGAGCTGAGACAGGTAAGAGCACAGAGGGCAAAGGGAAGAAGCATCCCAGCAGGAGGGCAATAACCAAACCAGGGTGTTGGTCCATCCGCCAGCCTGGTGTGATAAGCTGCCCTAAAGGTATTGAGAGAAGGGCTGATCTGAAGCAGCTACAGAGCTATTGTTCCTTTGTTAGCTCACAGCAGATAGGAGAGGTTTTAGAAGACCAGAAAAAAAGCAAACATAGGGTTTAGCTTTACAAAACAGACAAAAGAAAAAGTCAGGTCACTTAACTCGAACTCCTGGAAAACTGATGGAACAAATAATGAAACAACTTATTTGTACGCACTTAGAAGGTAACAAGATAATAAGCGACTGTCCACACCGATTTGTCAAGAACAATTTAATTTCCTTCTGCGACAGAGTAACTGGCCTGTGAATAGCTGGAGAAGCAGTCAGTGCCATATATCTTGATATTCATTAGGTGCTGCCTCACATGGCTTCCTCAGCAGCACACCAGAGAAACACGCTCAGGCAAAACTACTCTAATGTGGGCACACGGCTCATCAGAAAACCATATGGAGAGAGTCATTACTGGTGATTCGCTGTCAGACTGGGAGTATGTGCTGAGCAAGGAGACTTGTCCCAGCCATGACACCACCCATGATGTCACTGGTGATATGGATGATGTGATGAATGTGTTCAACATGCAGGTATCATGCTAGGAGAAATGAAAACACTCCAGGAAACTGGATTAGAAGTCAAACAATCTTGAGACATGGAGAAGTCAGAAAAAACAGCTGCATTAAATAGGTGGAAATATCCGCATGCAGGTGGGAACAAATCGCTGTGTGGTACCATGAGGGGAAGAGGCTGGGGTCAGGAAGCATCACAGGCTCAGCCATCAGTCAAAAAACCATGCTGCAAATAAAAACTGCAGCAGCCAGCCTGTCATCTGTCTGAGAAGTGAAGACCAGCATAGGCAAGCTGCTCTCCACATCTCCTGGGGATTGCAGTAATAGGGTTGAATCTCAACAAAGGGGAATAAGGTTGGACATGAACTACCTTCTACAGATAGGACTAGTGATGCACAGGGAGAGACTGCCTTACAGATGCTGTGAAATCTCCATCACTGGATGTTTTTCTGAACATATTATACAAACACCAACCTAGGACAGCTCAGGATGTACCCAGACCACCCGACTGACGCTTCCCAGCCCCAGGTCAGTCTCTCCTCCAGTGTTTACCAAACCCCTCTATGAAGCCTTCAAACTTCCTGTCAACGTAGCAGGCTATGCCTAAGACTGCTGCAGCTACACCATCTGGTGAAAAAAGACTTCTTTCTGTTTTAAACCTACTACCCAAAACTTCACCAAGTGAAATGGTCTGATTTCTCATGTGATTTAAAAAACCACCCAAACTTTATGTTCTCCCTCTTTATCTGCTGTCTCCTACCCATACTGTACATGAAACTGCTCTAAAATATTGACTATCCCTATATTCTTTCTGTGCTATGCTAACCAAACCCACACCAGTAAAATGAAGATCTGGATGTCCATCTGTAGGATCACCCATTAATTTGCTCTTGAGAACACCCACGCTGCTGTCCCGCAGCTAACCCAACGAACCCTTCCATCTCCCGGTGACCCAGAAGAGGGCCATTACTGTAGGGCCTTTTCCCAATTAGGACTGAGCCATGCACGTCGGATCCCTGACACAACTGCAGTGGTGAGCAACACCCATCCCCCAGCTTTGCCTTCCCAGTCTCAAGGCATGCAACCATTTAAAGAGGAAGCCACTAGATGGCTTGCTGGAAACACTGACAGCTCTCGCTGGAACTTTCTGCAGTGGTATTTACTTCTACACAGACCCACCCCTCCTGCTGAGCCGCTTCCTGATGCGGCTGATGGTGTGCCCAAGCCATCTCGTGCCACTGTGCTGAGAGGTGCAAGGGACACGGTGTGGCACAGCTTTGGTGGAGGAGCGTAAGTGAGTTTTGGTCTCTGGGTGTGCTCCTGTGCCCATGGGGATGCTGTGAGGTTGTTTTGGAGCTAGATAAAAAGAGATTTGGAAAAGCAATGCTCAACCTAAGTGAAGCATATGTGAGTGTGGTGGGACTCAAGGTGCACTAGAGCATCTCCATATTTTCCATATGTAGATGTAACTGCTACAGGCAAAACTTCCTGTCGTGCTTAATCTGATTTCTTTGTCCTTCTCTCTTCCCCACTCACAGCCAGCTTCCCAGAGGGTTGAAAACCTGTCTTATCTTCTCCTCTCCTCCTTCAGAGGGATGTCACCCATCCCCTTGCCATCCTCACACTGGGGAGATTCAGCAGCACTTGCCAAACCCCAGCCCGGCACGGTCTCCACGGAGAGGCTGTGGGATTCTGCAGCAGCTTGGATAAACTGAGAAATCAAAAGATCATTAAAAAAAGGCACAAAATGCACTCTAAAAAAAGTTGGTGCCACTTGCACATAGGAACTAGGTAGCAAAATACATGCATTAGAAGTACAGCCTGGTGCAAACTGGGTGCAGGGATGAAGGAGGACGATGGGGGAGGTAGGTGGCCATGGCTGGACTCTTCCTTACATGGGGGAGAGCTGAGCATGAAGGTCAGCACTGCAGAAACACAGGACAGTGCCAGAGCCACTTGGGAAACTTACCTCAGATGTCCAAGAGATCTGGGGGGGTGAAATCACAACCCCAAAAGATAACACTGATCTGAAATCCTGTGTCTCACAAGGGGCAGGGTGCCCTTCCCTCCCCCAGCCTCAGCAGGAGCCTCTCTCCTTCTCAGCCACCAGCAGGATGTGCACAATTAAGCAAAACCAGAAAATAATTAGATCTGAAAGACATTTGGCTCTCTCTGAGATAGGGTAGAAGGTCATGTTTAATCCTATATGCCAGCAAATAGAGAGATCTAGAGAGGGTGGCACAGGAGGAAGAAAGCTGGAGCTGCGTGTAGGCAGGGGGAGAGGGGCTGGTGACCCCCTCAAAGACCCTCTCCACCCTATCCCAGATCACAGGAACCTCCTTCAGCTCCCTACCTGCTGCCATGCACTCCCAGACATCTGGAGTATCTCACCCTTTTTTGCCACAACAAGCTCCCACGGGGTCAGCTGTGGTTAGGATGTGTCCCAGTTCTGGGCTCACATGTCCCAGGGCTCGTGCATGCTACCTGCAGTGGTTTACAGGGTCACAGACACTAATCACATTACAGACTCATTAGTTCCCCTGGGTGCTGTTTCAAGGATGCCTGATGTTTCCCATCACAAGGCTTTCGCTGCTCTAAGGGCAGGCAAGACTAATGATACTGACTACTGAAATCTGAGCATAGAGAAAGCCTCAAAGTTAGAAATTCCATCATGCTGGTTTTAAACTCCCTAAAATCCTTGTTCTGCCTGTTGCTGCCATTGCATCGACATCTCCTTTTGGAGATGAACTGAAGTAACAACTGACCATGAGCACCCTAAGGATCCAGCTTCCATCCCAGCCCCATGACACCTTGTAATGGGAAATGATGAGCTGCCAGTGCCCCCGAAGCAGAAAATTCCTGTTTTTATCAGGGGACTCTTTCTCTTGGGTAAGAGGATGAATGAAGGTGGGATGTGAAACTACCTTCTAATGTAGGATTACTTAACCAATACAATTTTGCTGCTATACAGCACAGCTGATGCATGTGCAGAGTGCCTGTGTATAAATACAGCACCAAATATAGCTGGGTCCTGCTTCCAAGGCTGAAACCTGTTCTGTGCTATGAATAGGTCCAATACTATCCCTAAACATGGGGCTTTCTGGTTTGAGAAAGAAGAGATATTTGTCAGTTTAATGAGTGCTTATTAGATTCCTCTGTCACAAATCTCCTTAATCACTTCTGGATCCCTGCAAACTGTTAACTGCCCCCATGTCCACTAGTGATGGACCCACCTCTAGTGCTGCACTGCATAAAGGAACTTTTTCCTTTTATTTTGAACCTGCCTCCTGATAGATGACTGGATTATTTCAACTGCCAGCAAGGCACATGGAGCTCCCAAAGCTGTTAATGATGTACTGGGAACAGTCATAGTTTTCCAAAGGTAAAGCCAACCTGCATGGAAAAAGGCAGGGATATATGCAGTCCCTGTGGATTCCTGCAAAAACCAATGCAGGCAGCACACCGGTGCCTGCACTCAGAGACCTCAAAGTACCTGACTGCCTAATTTTTCCTTCTATTTTTGATTTTTTGCAAAAAAGACCTTTGGCCCCCACCTCGAAAACACCAACCCTGCCAGGAGGGATGGCTGAGAGAAGCTGTCAGCACAGGCATATGAAAGCCTGTATCTCACCAGATGAGATATCTCCAAGGAACAATGACAATACGGGATCCCCCTCATATGCTTAAAAAGATCCTAAAAAAACCCAACCCCAAACAAGATAAACCTTTTTATTTTGAAAGCAGGAATTGGGTTATCCTCCTGTTGTCATGTATGACTTATCTCATTTCAGAAGTGAAGCAGACAAATATGTTGACTGGGGTTTTGATGAAGCGGGTGAGATGAATGATGTGTAGTTTACAAACCAGACAGCAGCTTATCATGCATAACAAGGACAACAATTAA